AACTGCCAAGGGACCAAGCTGGAAGTCCTCATCCTGGAACTGGTTCTGTGGGTATGAGTAGAACCACACTGGTACCCATGCCTTCAACTCCCAACTCATAGAGCCGGTTCGGAAAGTTTGTCGTATCAAAGGTGCTGCATAGAGTTCAGGGAGAATTGGAAGGGCTGTCTTTAGTGTGGAATAATCACAAAGTTTACTTGTATGTGTTACTCGTGTGTAAGGCAACCCAGAGGAGAACAGGGAATGTGGCTACACCCATGGTCCCATAGTCATGCAAACTAGCCCTTAGTTTACAGAAGAGTTTATGCAGTAGCAGCTACGTGCTTAAGTATAGGTACACCGCCACTGGGAGTCTGTATTGCATGGAACACCTGTTCACAAGCAGCTGCTTACTTTGCAAGCTTTTTCTGTTGCTTGGACTTTGGAGGTGATGCTACTTGATGCACGTGACGTTGACAGAACCATCGTATGACAAATCTTATTTTTAGACTATAACCCTAGATATGTTTATCTGATAGTAAGCCTCCGCTATATATATTGTTTTTGAGTTAGCACGGTTAGGATCATGCGGTTTGTCAGTGGGGTTGATATGCATTCTAGGGTTCCATGTAAGATTCTATGGGAGGAAGAGATCTGTACACCACTCATAAATGACACATACTGGAGTATTTGTGTAGTAGAGTAGATAGGGTGCCACTTTCCTTTACCCCATGAATTCTTTGCAGGAGAAAAGAGAAAAGTGTTGCTAAAAGCTAGACTGGTCCATTCACTTGCCATCCCTCCCAGTGCCCACAAGCGATAAGATGTGATAGGCAAGTTAGCATTGCTGCATTCACTCCTCGCTATCTTGTGAATAATTCCCCATCCAAGAAAAATAAAATAAATGAATGATGCTTTTGACTGTGCTTAAAAAAAGCTACTTGTCAAAACTTACGCTTGCAGGCTGTCTCCTACAACCCTCTGTGCCGTGTAGGAACAGGATAGCAAACGGGTAGCCCAGGCCTTTATGGCAGTGACTCTGTACGGGAGAAATCTAGAAGGCATCCACCTTTCAGTGCCATGCAAGCCCTCCCCCTCCCCCTCTTTAAGCCCCAAGGCCATTCTCCTTTCTTCGCTGCATAAGAAGAGAGGAACATATGGCCTAGAGTCACTATAGATCACATAGGTTTGTGATGGCAGTGTAGAACTGCAGCTGTTTGAGTGCAAGAATGCCCAAACATGTATTCAACTTACAAACATTTGGCAAGTGTTCAGAAAAAGAGCGTAATCTGGTTTCATCTAAGACTCATCCCCCCACCCCGCTCTGTTCTACATCCCCATGAAATAGTGTTTGATATCTGATCACAATTTAATAGAAGTGACAGAGAAAAAGTGGGGGTAGGGGGGTGAGAAAGAGAGAGGGAAGTGAGTTTTGGGAAGTCCAGCCAAAGGGACTTTCCACAGAAACGTTTTCCCTATCCTGCTTTTTAAAAAAATAAAAATAAAATACTCATTTCTTTTAACAGATTGTACCATTCAAGGTCATTTACCTTTCTCGTTAATTAATTATTCATTCAGAAAGCCACCACTCATCCCATTTTAATCTTAGTCATATCTGTAATTAAGCTTAAACATAATAGTTTTGGAGGTGGAAAATATATTTTCCACTCATGTTTTAAAACCTGTATGTGTGTTTGTACGTGCCTGTGTATGTAAAATTAAAGTGCAGCAGTTATCTAGCTGAAAACAATCGTTTTCATTGGTGGAGAAAAGTTTCATAATATATGAGAGTAAATCCCCTCCCCCTTTTAAAGTGCATTGATAATTAATCTTTTTTTAAAAAGCAAACAAATAAATGTAATTCCGCCTTAATTCATGGTTTCATTTTCTCAGCTAGAATTTGGTTACTAGTGCATTTTTTTTTTAATGAAAAGGTATCATGTGCACTTATATGACAAAAACAACCAAATCTGAAGGAAAGGGGATGGGGGGGGGAGATTCATACATGAAAGACACAATTTGCATTCCGTTCGTCCCCAGCTTTACAAAGAGGATTTTGGAATGAATCTGGCATTGGGAGTCTCTTGTTGAGATCGAGTTTCCTGCTGTGGAATGTGCTTTGACCCGAATGTGGAACTCTTACTTGGGAAAGTGAGTGTGTCAGTTGTGTTTGTTGTAAGCTGTGGAGGATTATAGAGACCATCACTAACTAACACAGGTATCATAATGATTGGGTATGTAGCACCTGCAGTTAGCAGATGATGCTACAGTATTGACCGATTGCCTTGGGGTAGTATTCTTCATGTTACCTTCTTCTTGTCTTTTATGAAGAGGACCTGGAAGCTTAGCCATGTTCTCATAGGGGTCCTTCTGCAGTGCCTAGTAGTGTTGAGGCAGAGATCTGCCCTCTTGTATGACATGCACACTGGTGTGCATCAATAAAGAAAGAAAGAGAATGAGGATAATTTGAGATTATTTCTGTCTGCATAGATTACAAATGGTGGTAACTGCTTCAAGATGACCAAAGCAATCACTTGGAACCAAAGAGCCCATGAAATGAATTCTGCTCACAAGAACCTATCACTGGCAGAATACAGGGAAGGTGATTCTTGCTAATTCTCCCTCCCTCTTGTCCCTCCTGAAAACAGGCTCTGGGAGATTGAGGGACCCTTTGTAACAGTATGAGAGGTGGTGTTCCACGGGTTTGCTGTTCCCTCTGAAAATGGAATGAGCCCCTTCCAATAGTAGAAAGGCAGCTCAAGATCTAGTTTCTCTTTACATTTTCCAATTTCACCTTTTGAATTTAAAAGTCCTCAAAAAGCCATTTCAATTAATTTTAAAAGTTTGAAAGAGAAATATAATCTGAGGCTCTTCTTTGTGTGTGTGCCTCATCCAATAGAGGCTCGGAGGATGGCAATGCAAGAATGGGTCTTTTCTGTGGTGCCTCCCCATTTGTGGAAGGCTTTCCTTAGGGATGTTCACCTGGTGCCTTCATTACATAGCTTTAGGCAACAGGTGAAAACATTTCTCTGTGATCAGGCCATTAACATTTGATGGCCTTTTAAATATGTTTGTGGGAGGGGGTTATTGGTTTGTTTTTGTTTTATTGTGTATTTTGTTTTCTCATTTTGTATTTTTATGTTGTGAACCACCCTGTGATCTTCAGATGATGGGAGGTATACAAATTTAATAAATAATATATTTTTAAAAAAGAAAGGTGTGCTGGTTGCAATTAAAAGCCCAAGTGAACGAGCCAAACTACATTCACCTGGCACTTAAAAGATAACAAAGGCATCTCCAGGTAAATGTATCCGGGGAATTAGCCACCAACCTTATTTCAGAAGGTGAGGGCACATGGAAAAGTAGCTCTGAAGGTTATCTGAGTTGCTGGGCACAATTTATTTGGGTGACGTCAATCCTTCAGGCTGCTTAGCATGTTTTAGATAGAACCAACCATTTAAATTTAGTCATAGTATGCGTAAGACTGGTTTTTGGTTTGGATCGTGGCAGTAATTTTTAATAAAGATTTGTGCCCCCACCCCTCTTCAACCTGGACCCTTGGAACTGCACAACTTGTTTTGCATGTTCAAGGGAGTTTTTAGATTTTCTTAAATATTTACTGCATATGCAAATGTGTACAGGGTTTCAAAAGAAATTTGTGATATGGGATTCTGGCATTCAAGCGGAGGAGAGATAATATTTCTGATAGCTTGGATGCACCTAAGCCTATTTCTGTTAGGTTTTGTAACATTTTCTTTATCTTGACTGCATATTGGTGGTACACAGTGATATCCTTGAAATGATAGCAGGTGCAACCCTTGTAGCCTTATCAGAGTACAAGAGAGAAAATGGGCATCTCAAAAGGTTCACTTCCGAATAAATCTACAGTAGTAGATTTATTAGCTATAAAATGTTTTATTCACTTTTTTAGGTTCAGAAAGTCCAAATGTTACGTGGTGGCCTCATGATTTCCCAGTCTTCCCTTTCCTCAACTACAAGATGTTAGCACTGGCTGAACAATAGTAAATGCCTGTTGTTCTATTTACAAGTATCTCAGAATGAGTAGATATATATTTATCTTGGTTCTCCCCAGTGGAGTACTTAGAGAAGCCCCCATAAGAGCACGTAAAAGGATGTTTTGTTGCCTCAGAAGAATGACTTAGCTGTTCCAATGAAAAACAAAGGCTTAAATAAAGGCAAAATTAGAGGCGCTTATGTGACAAACTGGAGGGGAGAGCCAGCAGTGTTTTGTGGTAGGCATTTACTTGGTGCAATTGCTAGCATGCCTGATTTATGTATATTCACATATTGTAGAATGCACGTTTGTTGCTTTTTGTATACATTTCAAAGTGTTTTTAGACTGCATCATCTTGTTTGAAGCTACAGTTCTAACAGTCCTGCAGTCCTAGTCTCACCCTACATCACTGGGGCTTACTTTGCTCAACCTACATCACTGGGGCTTACTTTGAAGTAAAAGGAACGCAGGTGGTGCTGTGGTCTAAACCACTGAGGCTCTTGGGCTTGCTGATCAGAAGGTCGGTGGTTCGAATCCCCACGACAGGGCAAACTCCCGTTGCTCTGTCCCAGCTTCAACCTAGCAGTTCAAAAGCATGCAGGTGCAAGTAGATAAATAGGTACCGCTGCAGTGGGAAGGTAAAAGGCGTTTCCATGCGCTCTGGTTTCCGTTGTGGTATTTCGTTGCGCCAGAAGCGGTTTAGTCCTGCTGGCCGCATGACCCGGAAAGCTGTCTGTGGATAAATGCCGGCTCCCTCAGCCTGAAGCAAGATGAGTGCCGCACCCCATAGTTGTCTTTGACTGGGGTCCTTTACCTTTTGCCTACTTCGAAGTACACTTCAGTGGCTGTGTTTTTTCTGGGAGTATCACAGGCCCAAGCTTCACGATTCCAGCATGCCTTGTAATTTTGAAAACTGAAATGCTTTGCCCTTAGAATCATAGAATTGTAGAGTTAGAAGAAGGTACGAGGGTCATGTAGGCCAACCCCCTGCAATTCAGGAATCTTCTGCCCAACACAGGACTCGAACCCACAACCCTGAGATTAAGAGTTTCATGCTCTACTGACTGAGCTATCTCAGCATTGAAGTTGTGGACTGTGCTAAAGGTAAAGAATAGCAACAGTTCCAACTAAATTGAGTCAAATAGTGGATTTGTACCATTTTGGTTTCCAATTATTTCTGACTTGTTCCTAGTTACATTAAAACTTTGTGTTGAGGTACAGAGACAAGAAACAAACAGCCTGATAGGAAATACCATACTGTGAATATATTGAGAGATAATTGGTTAATTTTTTATATATTCTATCAGCTTAATTGTTGCTTATATCTGACTGTTAAGATATGTAGCTCATTCCAGTAGGTGCCCCATACTTAAATGTAGTGTGTCTGATTTTGTATCTGAATTCCATACATTTTATAAAATATGTATTAGTAAGAGGTTGGTAATACTTAGTCGTTGATTCTGGCTTGATCTCTTGACTTAAGAAATCTGCTTCTTCTCGCAGGATACTTATGAAAGATTTAAAACTTTGGTGGGGGAAAGTTTGCAATATTTATTTTTAACAGTGTGCAACATATTCTGAACACTCCACCCCCCCTTTTTTTTTTGGTCAAAAGCAAAAAAAAGTGGCCAACAGGGAAATAAGCTTATCAGCTGTTAATTATCTACCAAACAATTTGTGATTTTAATGCTCTGCAATTTTCAGAGTCATGTGTGGGGTTGCTTTTTTTATCTCCCTTTTTGCAGTAAGTTAGAAAGTGAAGACTACCACATAAAATTATGATAGTAGCTGATGATGCACTACCAATTTACCAGTTGCACATCTAGGAAAAGAAACGAATATACATCCCCAAGAAGAAGAAAAGTTATATTTGGATTTTATTTTTATTTTACAAAGTATTTTCCAGCTCATGGGTCATATTTGACCAACTGCTTTCAGACGAAGACATGGCACTTTGTTGAGCTATTTAAGAATCAAAAAGACTGTCTTAATTTAAAACAAGGAGCCTTTGTTTTAGTTGGTGACTGCCTTGTGAAATTTTTCAGTTCTCAGCGGGTTAACCAGGGAACAGGGGCAGAGTCATAATTGGCCTATTTAGGGTGTTTTGCATGTGAATGGTGTGTTAGTGAAGCATTACTAAGTCTGTTGTGAGTGACATGGTGATTAGAATTTAGATTAGGGAAAACACATTCTGTACTTTATCAAGTACAGTAATTAGTTCAGTCAGTAAAAGTTGATTACAAGTAACGATAAAGTTAGATTTTTGGTACTTAATTTTAAAATTTCTTTATTAAATGGAAAATTTCTTCATCATATAAAATAAATGGTAGTATCTGCACCTGTTTTATTGCATACCAGAAAAAAATTAAAAGAACAATGTGTTCAATGCAGAGTATAATCAGGGGATTTATATATTATGGGTAAGTTTCAATGTAGTTATAGCAAATAGAATTTTTAGAAAATGTTAGTCTTTGCTTTTTCCTTGTTATTGCACTGAGATATCATTTCTTCTGGCTTAGCTATAGCTATTGTCCATTCATAAGTACATTTCATATTTGTGGATGTTCACTGTCTTACTTAATAAAATAGATGCTGTCGAAGTACTTTGCTGCAACGTCTTCTATCCACTCGCTTTAAGAGTCAGTCTCTCCCCCCCTTAGCAGTTTAGCAAAACACTAGTTCATTTTTGCATTGTATACTATTATTTTCACATCACAGATGTTATACCTGATTAACACATTTTATATTGTATTTTTAAGTATTTGCTGTGTTTCCTATTTAGTTCTATTTAACACATGCATTTTTTCCATTATTGGGTAAAATACCTACTCTTGTATGACGAAATGATTTTGTAGCAACAGGGTGATTTTTAAAATACTGATGAACACAATATATTTTGTTCGCCCTGTAAGTTTAAAACAAAACAGGTGGGGAGGGGGAACTTTACTTGATGTAGCTCCAAAAGAGTTCATATGTTCAACTGTTATTTCTTTTCAGCAATAACAGTGGAAGGCTATTGTAAAATTTCAAAGCATTCGCCTGGCCATCAGAATACGTATTCCGCTGAAAAGAAATCCCTTGCCTTTATTTTTGCCATATCTGAAAATAAAGTATTTTTTGTGTTAGTATTCCAATTTGCCAGTCACAGAGCCTTTAAAAAAGAAAGAAAGTGTGTGTGTATTATTTGAATCAGCATAGAAAGGCAAGCAAGGGAGAAGTTAGATATAACAATACTTATTTTTCAAAAATCTTTTAGCAAAGTCTCCTCGGAGGTGACATGGAAATGGGCAACCCAGGCGCGCTCTCACCCACCAAACCTGGCTCTCAGTACTATCAGTATTCTAGCAATAATCCGCGAAGAAGGCCTCTGCACAGTACCTCTGTGGGTGAGTTACTTTGTGCCACTTTTCTCCACATTTCTAAAAGGAAACTTAGACTGAACTTCTGTCTTGCAAGTAATTAATAATAAATGCTAGCTCAGTGCTGAATCGTAGACTGGAGGGTGTGAGCCTGCAAACATACATCTTACAGCCACACTTGTCTTCTTCTTTCAGAAGTACAAACAAAGAAAGTTCGAAAGGTTCCTCCAGGTTTACCATCTTCAGTAAGTACTCCTTGTCTGTCTTACCGTTTGCGGTTCCACTGGTTCCTTTGATTAACATGTTTTCAAATGAAACAGATTCCTATCCTAAACGTTTTTTTGTTTGTTTTGGTTTTCTCCATCATCATGCCGGCAGACAAAACAGAGAAGTCTATAAAATTCTGACCTGTGGGAATAAAAAGTTTTGGTGGGTGTTGCTGCATTATTATTTTTTAGTGTATATAAATAGAACTCTGAAAAAGTGCCTCTAGTTTGGGTAGCTTTACCAGTATGCGGTTCCAGATAGAATACGCATTAGCTTCACGTGCGGGTTAACTTCTTTGTCAGTATTATGATGATTTATGGATTTGCATGTTAAAAGAGATTTGTGGAGAGGGATTTATGAAACATTTACATGGGTCTCAGCCCAGAATAGAAGGAGGACGTCTTCATTTTCCACTGAAGTTTTTGAATTAGGACTTTGAGCATACCTGCACAAATAGCTTTCTCAGTGTGTGTGATTTCCAGGTGTCAAACCAGTTGACTCCAGGTGTTACCAAAGGAATTATGGGCTATGGTAATAAATGAAGTCACATTTAATACCCTGATTGTCGTCCCATCCCCCCTTCTTTTTAGGAAATTGTGTGTGTGTGTGTGTGTGTGTGTGTGTGTGTGTGTTTCTAATCAACTACCTGCATATATTTAGGCTGTGTTTGCAATAAAGGCTATATATGCTTTTTCATATTATAATGCCCTTGCGTTCATGCAGCAAATAATTGGCTCATGTATGAGTTGGATTTTGTTTTGCGTTCTTTTAAAAATAAAAAATGCTGATGTGTAAAAAAAAGTATGATCTGTTTTAAAGCAGCTACCATATTGATTAATTTGTAGATAAGTAACAACAGTGCACCGTAGTGCAGCAGAGCGACAAATACTTTTAGATCAAAGAATTAAAAATATTTGACTTTGCTACTGGTAGTAGTTATATTGTGGAGATGTGTATTATGGGAGTGGGGGGTTACAAGGGAGTGCAATCAAAAATTCACCAACATCAGAGCAATCCTACAGGTTTTTCTGAGATTACTTTGGCGTACCATTTATTAATGTGATCATAAATTAGATGGACTTTCAAATCAATAGCAAAACCTTCATATTATAAAACTAGTACTTTTAATTTCCGTTTTTGCTATTGTCATATCAGTAAGTGACTGAAGCTAGGAAAGGAATTAAATGAACATGTTTAATTAATATAGCAATAGTGATATGGGTATGTGAACCCTTGGGCAGACTTCTGACAGTACTTGAGAAGTAAAAATAAAAGTTGACAACAAAAAAAACTTTGCTATTTTTCACTAACAGAGAGAAAAAATGAGGACAAATTTAAAATTAGATTGCATAAATGTTTCTTGCTTTGTTTCTTTAAAGAAATCATGGATTTTTTTACAATCCTAAGGATTTTGGGTGGTTCACTTTTACTTAATGGCGTCTTTACTTGAAACTTTCGCTTCTAATAGCTTTTATGAGAACTCAGATGATAAATACATATTGGTGCTTCTCACATTTTGAAACAGGCCAGTACGTAATGTGGCTGAGTATACCTTTTAAGCATTCTGGAGTAGCACTTAAACACCTTTTTCTTTTTTTCTTTTTGGTAATTTGTTATGTCTAGAATGCTTAAATTTTAATAAAATGTAGTGCCGTATTTTCTTCATTTAAAAATATGTACATAAAGATTCCTTTTTTCAGATAAATTCTGATAGAAAAATCACGTGCCTCTGTATTTCTAATGCTCATTTTCTCCCATAGCTGTACACTTACTGTGTAGAACCTGTTTGACTGGGACATATTTCCGTTTAGAAAGCTAAACGCATGCAGGGCAGTGAAATGGCTACAACTGTAAAGAAAGAGGACTGCTGTGATGATGTAAAAACATCAGATTGGTTGCCATTTCCATTTAAGGGTTAGAACTCTGTTGTTATTATTTCCCTTGCAGACATTTCAGGCATTTGGCTGTTTCTTTGAACCAAAAAGTATGAAATAAGTTTAAAACAGAATTAACCAATTAGGATTCCTTAATTCCTAGCAAAATTTGTTCTTTGAGTTACAAAGTATGGATTCCGTAGTTCATCTTGCTTTTTGCACACAGTGAAACCTATTGTTTGAAAGATAAAAACGAGGGAAAAAACAATTTTGCCACAAATGATTTCCTTGAAATTCAAATGACCTGATGCTATTATTGGGAGATATATCAAGTTATCCAGAAGTGTGGGTGGGTGGGTGTCAATTGTTCCTTAACATGTTTGAACAAACAACTAATCACCTTCATGATCAAAATGTGTTGTGATTTTTTATCAGTAGTTAAAATGCAAAGATTTTCAAAATAGTACTATACTCTATTAAAGGGCAAAATATTTTTTTTAATAATTTATCTTATCACATTATAGTAGATGATGCTATTATGCTGGATAAACAGTACTCATTTATAAATTGACTAAACAG